CTCACCCATCAGCATCAAGAGGGGAATTGTATTCCTTCCACTGTGGATAAGTGTTCACAGACTATGGACTCTGGAGGAATACACTGCCGCAAGCAGACATCTGCCTCATTGGGAATTACTTTAATCAAACAGGAATGGAACATATTTACTTATTTACCAGAGGACAGTATAGCCACTGAAGCAAAAAGTAAACGCTCTCAAATATTCCCTGCATATGCTCCTCTCGCAACACTCTCTCTTGATTTTTTACCTCATTATCATCTTTTTAAATATGTACGGCAAAACAAAGAACAAAAAATTGGTTAAAAGTTCAAATTAGCTGGGGAAGAGAAAAAAAAGACAACTCATACTTGAACAAGAAAACAAGCTCCCCCATCTCTATGGCAACCTTTCCTAGAAGTTTATCAATTTTTCCTTCTTGACTTTTAACACTGTATCTGAAAAAAAAAATGACTAATTTTTTTCATTTTTAGCTTCTTGAAATGAAACTGCATGTCATCACTTTTCAGTCTCTAGGAATTAGCTATTTTCTCACAGCACACTTCAACAATATTACACAGTTACTAGCAAACAGTTCTGAAACATCGAACATTACACCAGGAAAATCAGAACTGTTTATCAAACTCAGAAACATCTTTTGATATCACTTCATCCACAGGGATTTAAAATATACTAGATAATACGCCAGAACATACACAGTACAGACCACCCCTATACTGGGAAGGGGGAATCTAAGTGGCACTTACCGTATTTAACATAAAATGTCTCCTTTCTAAATACTTGAAATACAAAATCATAAATTTAGCATGAAGTAACCTCTAAACTTACAGAAGTTAAAATCCTCTTTGCTGTCTCTGTCATTGCCTGCTCCAACGGTTTCCAAAGGTGGAAAGCATAACGACCTGAAAAAGAATGAAGTTAAATGACATTATAACCACCATTTACTAAAATGGGAAAAAAAAAAAAAAAGTCTCCAACTTATGTCCATCAGCTTACAGCAGAAAGATTTTTTTTTTTTTAATCAAATCAAAATCCTTCCTTGTTAATCTTTTTGTCTCATTTATTTGCTGTACAGCACCGTTGCACTTTACTCTTTTCAAAGAGTTTTCAGATCCTGCTGTTTTTGGATCCTGCCCAGCCAAAGTCCCACGGTAAACTTGCTATGGTTTACATTTTTCAATCTTTGTACTATTGGGAGAAGGAGGGGAAGAAGTTTAGCATACTTCATCTAAAAACCTAGTCATGGACTGCAAAGATCCATTGTGTTTGCTTACAAAAGAAATAGATTTAAATGCATTTCACTATGATGAATGAAGATATCTGCCTTGTGAACTTTAAGAAAAAGGGCAGTATGAAACATTAGCTTTGGATATACATTATTTATTAAATACTGTTCGAAGGTTATATCTTCAAAAAGAGAAACCTATGTACTACACTTTCTTGCTGTGATGCTGTATGCTTAATCACACATTTTGTAAGTACTGCATTTTTTATTTTGTTACACAGAGAGGATCTTCTGGGATTCAGAGCCGTTCAACTCCCCACCAGCAGTGAACGTCTACAGCTAGGAAAGGCTAGAGGGAACTCTATTAGACTGCGTTCTCGGAAGTACAAAGCAGGTCTATCAACTTCAGAATCAAGATCCGTGCCATGTTAATGGAGGATTTTCCCTGTAAGTCCCCTCCCCCCAATTACTGTCTTGATTAACTATTCATTAGCAATGTAACTGACTATTATACACAATGGAAAAACTTTTTATGAAATGGGGCTTTGCTTCATTCAAATAGCATCTTGCTTTCATTCTTAAAATACGCGATGTGTCCATAGGTTTAGTCATCTAAGCCTGTGCCTATGTTAACACAGAAGTTAAAAGCACTGTTAAGAGTATTGCTGCTGAAATGCTGTGATGTACAAATATATTACCTCACCTTCTTCTTAATGTTTTCTGTTACCACTTCTTTGCAAGCTGCCATTAATTCTGCAGCTCAACCAGCAGAAGAAATTCTAAGAGCATTCCTCTTCTGCTTCCATACAAACACATAGATAAACCAACTGCTTAATGGTGCACATAATCAAAGATCTTGTCTTTCCTTCCCCTAATCAAAAAACCAACACAGCTGTACCCAGCAAACACCTGCTGAAGTTTGGCGCAACTTGTTCATCTATTGCCTCTATTCTTGGTGTATGCACTTGCACATAGCTGACCATGCTTTTATATGCTGAAAATAATGGAAATTGATTTGTGTATTTCCAAACCAGAATAGACCAGAATTATCCAGTGTGAGTAACCAAGAGTATAAATCATGTTATGCCCATGCTCTGTGTTCAGACTAGAAGTTATTTTTTAGAAGAACACACAGTCCAGATACAAAGAGTTCAGGTAACAAACAATGTACTGTGGGAACAGTTCAGTATGATAAATTACTGTAGCCACTAAAACCTTCTATTTTTCTGTTTGAATTTGTCAAGCATCACCTTCACATCACAAGATCCTGCTGCACTCTTCTGTACTGAGCAGCCTCCACCTTGAAATATGCTATGAAATAAACAAAGTAAACTTTTCACATTACATTTTGCAGACAAAAAGCAGATGGAACCTTTTAGCTGCTGCACATAAAATTAGTTTCTGCAGCTGTGGCTTTTCAAAAAGAATTTTGGAAAATCTGTCAAGGATTTTGAAGGGAAACGAACTATAACTGGACACAATTCTCCATAGCACTCTCAAGTGACCTTTCCACTTTCCACTATTTATAGTCATAAAAACTTCATTAAGCCTTTTGGAAACAGCAGCTTTCAAGTGACAGTTCCACACTTAGCAGGTAATTTAGCTTACCTGCAAATGCAACAGTTGCAACACCAAGTCCAACCGCTATCATAGTTCTGGCCTAAAGCAGAAAAACAGGAATCAGAATAAAGTGCAGATCTAATTTGAAATATACGCACATTTTACTTTAACAGCAAGTATTTCTGATGTCTGACATGCACATTTCATATATAATTTACAAGAAACATAAAGGTAAGTTCTGTGTTCCACAGGCTACGTTAGATTTTATAGTTCAGTCCCATTAATCCATGCCAACGCATCAGGATTAACTCAGAACTACCCAGTAGCAAATCATCAGACAAACACTGACAAAGCAGCTCACAGTATGTAATGATAAGAGCACAAGGCAGACAACTATTCAGGATGACTTGAAATTATTTGTGTAGACTAGTTCAACACAGTACATAACAGAAAGTATCGGTTTATTACAAAAACATGAAGAGCTAAAAAAAAAATATTGTTTTGCAAAGTCCTTCACTGGGAAATCTCATTGTGACATTACTTGAAAATGGTACTTGAGTATTAACTTAAAGACTACGTCCACAAATGTACATTAGTGTCTTCCACCTTTGATGCTTTGACTCACAGAAGCCCCAATAAAGACATGAAGCCCAGTAACCTCTTTTCACTACTTAGTGTCAATCACTGGCTCGACTATCTTATAGCACAAATACCGTAAATAGGCAGACTTCTGGCAGATTTCAGACAGCATTCATTATCAGCTAAAATTCGCTTTAAGTCGAAGTGGGCTCTTGGAACCAAACCCACAAAAAAGACTTGAATATTTGATTTAGACAATAACTCCCACCTTATACTAACTCAAAACCCCCAGACTAGGTATACATATTTTCCTACGCAGTGTTTGAAGAAAGTCAGACATCTCAAGAAGGATAATAAGAAGTATCTCCGTGTTGAACAAGAAGCTGCTGAAAGACACGTAATAAACCTTAAAGAAGGGACTGACTTCTCACACGTTTGCAGAATTCAAGAAGGGTAATGAGCATTGCACGTGTTGGGGACATCTCTCCATTTCTGAAAAGCCTACATGTAATCTCTGAAACAAATGAAATAAAGTCATCTGTGGCACCACCTGCCTTATCATATGATAGTTCAATAATGCCCTCAACTTTCCCCCAGGAAACATGAGAAATCAGATTAGGCCTGTTTAGCTTGAATTCAAAACATAATGACAGTGAAAACGCTTTTATCACCAGACTGTCTCTTTATATGTATGACTGACTTCTGCATCTATCCAATAACCGGTTTATACATTTTCTACCAACAAGCCTGACAGCAGGACTTAAAGCCCAAATTTCAATTTGAGTGCCCTAATAACTGGATTTGGAGCCAAGTTGCCTTTGCTATTAAGATTCCTGGGGCTAAAATTCTGTCTTTGATTGTACCCAATCTCATTTCTAGACAGAGAGGGAGTAGGGGAAGAGTTAGGAAATACCGGTTTTAAAGCCTTCTAGAGCTAGCTTAGTAGGGGCTAGGATGGAGGTCAACACCCTTCCCAGCAAACGGGCAGCTGTGCAAGACGTAGGCACTGCCATCACGCCCAGTGGCTCCTATGGCTTCGGCTCTGAAGGCAAGTGGCTGTGATCGCTGCCTCTAGTATTGAGCTCAGTACGGAAAAAGCGGTAGCCTGCTCTGAGCTCATCTAGAAGAAGCTGTATTCCTATCTAGCTTTTGGACCCTATGCATTTTAACTAAGTACCTACCTCCCACCTACTCAAATGGGGCTATTCCAGCTGTTTGCATAACATAATACTGCAATTGCCCAGAGGTTTATAGTAGAACAAAAGAGACTCACTAAACACACTGAAAGCGGAGCTCCAAAGTTAAGACTGGGGGAGTTTTGGCCTTAAAAATCTGCCTGTCTATCCCATTTTAGTAACCTAACTCTTCCATTTCAGTGTAGTCTTCAGTCTCGATATTAGCATTCATTTCTGAATGTAAAAATAACGTAGTAGTTTTATGTCTGTTGTTCCTTTCAGTTCCACAAAATTTCCCCTCATCTTTAGACCATGAAAAAATGTAAGTGCGTTACCTTAAATGGTAGAAGATATAAAATAGTGAAGCATACAGTTCATCTCCTCACTAAACTAAAACTCTTTTCATTTCTTCTCACAAATCGTTTTTCCCAGGCTCTCAATATTCAAACCTTCTAAAAGATTCCTCCAGTTCCTCTGTTTAGACACTAACCAGAAACAGCCACAACATTTCTGAAAATATCATAACCCTACAGAAATTCTGTATTATTCTGTTCTGTGGTTTGTGACTATGAATTTATATTCAAGAGACTTTACTTGACTTGTTCAGAGTGACAGCGAGAATCTTTTACTAAGTAAATTAAGAGCTCAACAATGGGTGAAATACATCACTGGCAAAAAAAATAAAATTTAGTAGCTTGTGCTTATCTAAATAAGTTATACTTGCTTTGCCACCAAAAAGGTGGTTTAGGTCCACAGTTTACAACAAGGCATTAGCAGCAGACACCTCATCACAGGTAAGGCCAAGCACAGAGACCAGGCTAATAAATAATACCTGGACTCTTGTCAGTTCAGTGCAGAAATAGCTTAAGTGTTTTTGCACAGTAGTCTGGGAACACAATGTAGAGACCCCTGAGGCCTCTGATATAGTCATCCCTGTCCACTGGGATGCATTATTTCAATCTCAGTGGAAAGCACTAGCAGTTAGTGGAAAGCTAGTGCTGCCTGGAAAAGAGCAGGTAAAAAAGAAGCATGGCAGCAGCTATAGAAAAGGAGCAGTACACAGGATTGACAGGAATATGAAGACAAGCCAGAAAATTAGGTAAAAGTGGTGGAAAGCTCAAGGCAGAGAGGCACGTTTTGAAGCGAGGTACAACCACCAGAAAAACTGACAAATACTGGTTTATGGAAACTCACCTTATTTGCGTTATGAGCAGGTTAGAGAAGAGTCACTTGCCACATAGTAGCAAAGAAGTGATAACTTGTCATACCAAAGCACCTTGAATGTTTATTATGGTGTGCATATATCCTAACTACACATATGCGATAAGAACTGAATTTGAATCAATGTAAGAAAGATGGCATGGTCTGTCTTTTACAGACACAGCCTCTCTCAAAAAAATCAGTGGCAATTTCAAGTACTAACCCGTAAGCCTCTTAAGTCCAGCCTGACTCAGTTTCCTTTTCCATGCTCACTTAACTCAGTCAATTATTTTGAAGAATAAGCCAAGGGTAGGCTGGTGCTTTGAAATGTAGAGTATAAAGTGCAAAGCTTTAATTAAATGCACTCCTTTCATGTCAATATTAAATGAAAGCAACTCACTATCGTTGTGGAAGGGATCAGTTAATTTACTGCATGCTAATACAACTACCGCCATGACCATTTTTGCCTCCCATTGCTTGAAAACGCATTTTATTTCAGATTCAAAAAAGGCTAAAAAAAATAAATACTTACTGACTTTCAATTATGACAGAATTGACCCTCTCCTTCTCCTCAAAAAAATACTGTTAAGAAATTTCTAAGATGTAGGTTTTAAATGAAAGCATTCTGTTAAGACCCAAGAGGGAAAAATAAAGAAATAAAAGATTAAAAAGTAACATCTGTCCCTTTCTTTATTCAATGAATCAGCTCCCAAAGGTTATTCATCAACCCCATGCTATTCTGCTGATCTCAGTATTTTAATTTTACTACATAGTTCAGTTTTCAGTAACAAATCCTCTCAGATACTGAAAACAATAAACCAAAGTTTTGCTAAATCTGCAAACCCTGATTTTTTAAAATTCTTTTCAGAAACATGTATAAGAAAACACACACATTAGAAAGGCAACTGCAAGACCTGACTTACCAAAGTGGCAAACAAAAGAAGATAAAGCTTATTAATCAACATGCAGTACATTTAGAGGTATACATCATATACTGTTAGCATACAGACATCTGCGGCCTAAGCCTTTAATAAGTAATTTTCCAGTAGCCTTAATTTTTTAGCAGAAGAAAGAGGAAAGAATGAGATACCCTTTCTGCAAATTTCTAATCCACAGTCTCTGCTAATTTAGCCATACTAAAAAAAAAATATAACAACTTGTGTAAGTCCTAGCATTGCAGCATTTCCTTCTATGAAGTAGAAAAAAGTTACACTTATAAATATAAAAAGAATTTCAAATGCATAAGTTTAAAATTTCAGTGCAACACTATTACATCTGACCACAGGCTACAAGAAGCACCTTTACAAATGTTAAAACATAACTGCCTGCATAGGATTTGGATTTTGTACACTGTTCTTCTAACACAATCAGTGAAAACACCCTTCTTGATCAAATGGAAAATATTTTGCTCTTTCCACAACTAGCTTTCAGACACATAGCAAGAACTCTACTGTCTTTTGCCTAGAAAGCTACAGTGTAATGGAATAAAAAGCACAGAGAAAATAATAATTTGTTCTGATGGGTTGGATAGCATTTTGTTATCAGTCAATGCTTAATCATGGATCAGTAAAATAGGAAGTATATACTTACACTGAAGTAAGTACACAAGTGTAAATTGCTTGCTTAACTGAAAACTTTGTTTTAGGAAGGTTTGGTTTGTTGTTTTCTAAGTGCTGTATGCCGCTAAGTTATACAAGGATATTAACCAAGCGTACAAAAGTATTTCTGAAACTACTTTTTCCCTTAAATAAAAATTCTTGACCTGAAAGAAATGATTGTTTGGTATGGAAGCTAGAAAAAGCCTTATGTTGCTCAGAAGAGTAGGTACTACAGCTTATTGGGAGACTGTTTCACAGCAAACCACCTAATTAACTCTATATGGAGCCAGATACATGTTGAAGTGGGATTATATTATAAACGATCTGCAACAGATTTGATTTCATAATCTAATGTTTTCCTTCTAGTCTTACCTTCCCATGAAATTTAATTTATTGTCCAACAGTGAATTAAAAATAATTTCAGCTAGATGCTGTGCTCCATACTCACCCAATTCTCATGTCAATGTGTCATTTATTTTACAACTACTTTGGCTTGTACATAAAACTATGCCTAAAGTTTCTGACAGTTTTTCATAGGAAATGGTACCTGAGCAACAGATTCACTAATAGAAGCATTACCATAAGTCATTCAAATCAATCTTCTTGAGTATGTACTAATTAACAAAGGCCTCTTGCAGGTATCTTTAAGAACAGACTATGCTTCTACATTGTTCTTCTGTCACTCTGAACTCCAAATGCTTTTGTAAAACAACTACAAGAATAAAAATGTCCCAGATCAAGCGACTACATCTAACATCCAGGACATCTCACAACCAAGATTCAAGGTAGGATATTAAACAGAGCTCTTTTCAGCCCAAGAGATAGATGCTGCTGTTAGACTTTGCTTCTCCTACTACTCTTCCCTTCCACTGTGGCAAGAAGGTCTTGTTAACCCTGTACATCAGGGGAACAGATGCACAGCACTACAGCTGATCTTGCTATTTCTCTATGGCAAAATTTCAGAATTTCGTTATATGCAACTTGACCTCCTTCTGAATTACTTAGCCAGGAACCCAATAAGTATGGGTACTGTCGCTTTTTCCACTATATATCTACAGAATACCATCTAGAGAAACTCTAAAATAGCTTCTACTGCCAACCATATGCTAAAAGTTTACAATGTACATATGTCTGAAAAATACTGCATTCTCCACTGAAAGGCCTGGCTAAAGAATAAATTTTGATAGAAAAATGCAGCAATCGAGAACCTAGTCCTCTAAAAACCTACCACTATCTCTGGACCTTAGTAAGAACCTGACAAAACAACTCACACCAACAAAGCAAGCCATACTAACCCCAGGCGTAATTTTTATCCCAGATAGGTAAGAACACTCAAAGACTCCACAAAATTCACTAGGAATTTCCCTGCTAGCATTCCACAGGGAGAACGCATGGACGTGACAATAACGAGTTTCAGAGTCAACTTCTTAAGATTACACAGCTTTCTGTTAAACACACAGAAAGACTCTCCTGGGGGGGGGGGAAGTCCTAGACTGTAGTAACAACGAATAAATAACTACGATTTAAAAACCTGTATATAAAAAAGAAAAGATACATTGTTGAGGCAACAACACGTACACAATGAAGTAAGGCAAACACATACTTAAAGCCATTTAAAAAACATGAAAACTTCACCGCCCAGTGCTGTAAGCAGTGCAATCCAAGTATTTTTCCCAATTCTCAGATCTTTTCCATAGAGAACGCACTGTCCCATGAACTAGCCTAAGCAACCAGGATGAGGGAATGGGGATATCGTTACAGCACCCTTGTCTTTAGAGGACGGGACAGCACAGGAAATTTTGGAGGCATCTTCCCTCTGCTCCACACCCACCTCAAACCCTCAGGGTGGGTGAAAACCTCACAGGTCTCCTCTCTTCATGGCAAGGGGACGAAATTTGAGGCCCTGTCTGGACGGAGGAGCGCAGGGCCTGAAGGGGAAGGGGGGGGGGGTCTGAAGCGCTGCCGGGGCTGCCCCACCGCACCTCCACCCGCGGCACCAGGCCCACGCAGGGCCTGAGGCGAGGGGACACAAACCTTCTCACCCCGACCTCCCCGCCCAGCCCCGGGGCGGGTGGAGAACGCCTGTCCCCCTCAGCCCCGACCCGCTGCCCCGCTGCTCACACACGTTACCCCTCACGGCCCCGGGGGGGGACACACACGGACGGACCCCTACCTGTTGCCTTCCCCTCTCCTCGTCCCCCCCACCAGCGCGCTCACCAGCCCTCGGTCCAGCTCGGCTTGTCCCTTGCCGGCGCCCGTAGGGACCCTGGCGTACTCGGCATAGCGCAGGCCCTCGGAGGAGGCCGCGGCTCCTTCCATGACGGAGGGATTAGGCGGGGAAGACGCTACAGGTCGGCCGGAGGGACAAACCACTTAGAAAGGCGGAGTCCTAAGCGCCTTCTCCTTGTCAATCTTCCGCCAGAGGGGCGGGGCCGACGCAGTTTTGGCGGGCTCGGCGGTGTGAGGGGTTGGGCGGGGTAATGGCGGGCGGCGGAGTCCCTCAGAGGCAGGGAGGGCGGTTTGCCCTGCTTTTATCCTCCTGACTGGTTTGAGGAGCAGGGAGGCGGGAGGTGGCTGCTTGTTCCAAATGCCAGGAGAGCCAAGGAAAAAAGGGGCGGCCGGGGCGGGGGGTGAAGGGGTGAGGGGTAATTATGCATAAAAAAAAATAGGGTAAGAAGAAGGAGAAAATACTTGGGAGAAGGGAAGGTCGCACAGAAATGTCTCATGTCCATCTTCAGAAGGAAGGTGGGATTTTGGAAGGGGGAAAACCTACGGAAAGGAGAAAGAAAAATTCGTTGGGGGGGGGAAGAGCAAAACCACTAACAATGGGGTTTAATGTTTATATTTTTGCACCTTAGTTGATGTCTGTATATGTTTCAGTATATGTCTGTTTTGATTTTGTGAAAATGCTGACAGGATCCTAGTTCCCCCTTCTGAAATTCTTCAAGTGATAGCTCATACGCAGAAGTTGTCAATCACCATTAGTCCTGTATCACAAAATGTAAAATGCTCAATCTCTTTTCAGTACAGCAGCATAACAGCTCTTTTTTTGCCCTTTTGCTGGTTTTCTTTGTCTCCTACCTGGTAGTACTGTTACTGGCAACGGAATTGAATTATCTGCAGATTGCTTAAGCAGTGTGACTCAACTAAAATAATTACTCTTCTTATCTCCTATTTCAAACAGTGGTTGTTCTTCTGAGGCATCATTCTGAGCACATACCATGGTTTTGTATATCTGATTGATACTCATCAATCCTATAATGCCAAAAGGCAACTGCTTTAATTCATCTCCAAATATCTTTTTAAAGTACAGTTGCTATTAACCATAAAGGTGAGCTGACCATATACAGGATTTCATTAATCTTGGACAGATATATAAATTCAACTTTCTACAGCACAGCAGTCATTGGAAGTTGTATGATGATCCATTTTGGAAGAAATACATTCCTTTTTACTTCTTCATTGAACATAGATAATCATATAGGATTAATTTTTTAAACCTTCAGTGGAATTGAATTTCTTGTAATCATAAAACCTATCTTAAAATCAATAAAAATGTCCCCAACTAATAATTTTTTGCTCCTTGATTTGCATAGAAGTAATGCAGAACAGCATGTCACTTATTACTTTTTTTGATTAGCCAACTCAGTTTAAGAAATAATAAATTGAAGGTATTGGAATTTAGGGGGTTTTTCCTTATTTTTCCTCTTCTGCATTTTATTCCAACTTGTTTAAAAAAATCTAGGTCTCTCCTGATGATGTAATTCTCTTTGTTAGAAGATAATCAACCATAAGAGAAGAAACACTGTATTTGTTTTGGGGAGAAAACTGAAATGGCAGGAAATAAAAAGAAGCCAAACATATAAGACTAGGAGAAAGTAAGAGGCAAATCTATGAAGTGAAAGATGGCAGAAAATAATACCTTTTTTTTCCAGCTTCTGCAACAATTACTCACATTGAAAAGTACCTACTCATAAAAGTAGCATCTTTGAGTCCAATGGGACAGTAAAGTGAATGAGAGTTACTCATTTTAGCCACCATATGTGTTTGGCCAGGCAACTGTAGGAAATACGCGTGGGTGGCTCTAAACAGGAATAGCTGCGTTGCTTTGAAAAACTTGACTCAGTGGACAAAAATCAGCCAAACATCAACAATAATGAATTTTAACAGTGCTTTGCAATTCTGGACCACCAAAACCTGAAGTAGTTCAGAAGAATTTCTCTAATATCCAGGTATACAATCATAATTTACAAAATCTACCTAAGTGGTACCACATAAAATCCATACGAAATCCAGGAGGGTGAGGAATCCCAAAGGTTTTGCTGGCTAATGGTCAACTTGTCCACCAGGAATTATTCGCTTCACCACTTTCCCTGGGATCGAGGTGAGGCTGAACAACCTGTATTTCCCCAGATCCTCCTCCTTGCACGTTCAGACAGTAGCTCTATATTCTTCCCGGGTCACCTGCCCCCGCTCCCACCTTTTGTACGCTTCTTTTTTATATTTGAGTTTAGTCAAGAGCAGCTTGTTCATTCATGCAGGCTTTCTGCCACTCTTGTTTGACTTCCTGCTGTCAGGATGGACTTAAGCTTTTAGGTAGGGAACTTTGAAAATCAAACAGCTCTCCTGGACTCCTCTTCAGTGCTATATCCCGTGGGATCCTTCCAAGCTGATCCCTGAGACCCCTGAACAGGTCCAAGTCTGCTCTCACTAAGTCCAGGGCTGTGATTCTGCTGTTTTGCCCTAATTCTACTGTCTCTTGGTCACTGCAGCCAAGTTCTTCCCCATTTGTAAGTATCAGATCCAGAAGAACATCTCCCTTTGTCAGCTCCTCAATCACCTTTGCAAGGAAGTTGTCAGTGCGCTCAGAAAACATCTTATGTCATTGTAAGGGTAGCAAAATTTGGCCTTTAGAGACACCAGGTCATACTATGGTCCATCCAAATACATCTAGGCAAGCTCTGAGATGGGAAATAGCACTCTGAATGTCTTCCTCATATCACCAGCTATGCTACTACTACTACTACTTTCTGGACAGTGAGACTCAGGAAGCATATAGCTTAAGCAGAGCAAACCAGATAATCAGCACAAGGAAAATACATCTTTTGCTAGGAGTGAAGGACCGTAGGTTGTTTCCCTTGGAAGTAAGGAGGGGAGGAATGAAAGCAGCTGGGTCTCTGGTTGTGGTTGTCTCCCGAAACTCCTCTCAGCATGGCACAGCTGTGTACTATACTATGCGCAGGATGGTGCTGGTAGAGACAATCTGTCCATTACTATTTTAATTTAATCCTAAAGACTGGTATGTTCCAGCATATTGTCACTATTAATGTGTAGCAATGTTGTCCATATTTGTTATGCCATTTAAGTTAATTGTCTGCATACTTTTCCTGTAAATGACTTTCCTAAACAGTCTGTGCTACAGTATTCCACGTTGCAGTCAGGATCAATGCTGGCAAGAATCTCTGTCAGGAATAAAGGAGAATCTAGAAACAGATACCAGATTAAAGCTTGTGAAATTGATAACGGGGCGGGGGGGGAGGCTTTTGGATTTACTCTTTACCACTGAGAATTTCCAAAGTACCTGTAAGTGTAGCACCTGACCAGTGACATTAGAATGGCAGGGACTAAAGTTTCATGCCAAAGATTAAAGTTTCTGAGGTCAGGAAGAGAAGAGAGTATAATTGAGAGTTATCAAGGAAATCATAAGGCGTATCATATAAAACTGGTAGAGTCAGTACTTGAGCCTTGCTGAATTGTCATGTGCATACAAATGAATAAAGGATAAATCTTCCCAGCCACTGCACCAGGATTAGAGGTTGGAAGAGTTCATTGCTCCTAAAAGCATTTGTATGTTTCTTTAATTACTGCAATATACTATAAAAGCAAAAAGAGGCATGAGCTGTGGACTTCTACTAATTTAAGTAACGTATTCTGAAACATTAAACAATACAGAATGTAATGTTCTTTCTAGATCCTATAATAGTAGTCTGTATGACACCTTTGGTTGACTAGGTACCACAGGGTAGTATATTATACGAAATCCTAAGCTGGAACTAATCATGGCCTTCAGGAATTACAAGAGTACAATTATTCCTTGAAGAAGATGGCAAAAGGCTCAGGTATCTTTTGTGAATAAGAGTGTTAAAATAATGTATGCACAAGTAAATCTCCTCTGCTTTAAAAACTGTTAAGAAGAAGATGTATTCAGGAATTTTACAAATACCCTTTTAATACTGTCAGACTTCTCAAGGACTTTTTCTTTCTGGTCACAATGCTGGAGCAATAGCTGTAAATTCTTCATTTCTGGTAGCATTTGTGTAGTTTACCAGTTAATTTTGCCTTTTCCAATAGATTTGTCGCAGGCATTTTTAATGGTATAAAACATTCATTTGTAGTTCTGATAGTTTTTATAGCATCAGACCTTTAAAATAGCCCTGCTTTATTATTTATTATTATTTATATAGCAATATAGGTATGCATAGCAATCTCCAGGCATAAGAATACTCCTAAAATGTAGCAATAATTTTCAGGCACTACTTCAGGACCTTAATATAGCAAGTTCTGGACATCAGGTCAATTATATTTTCAATCTCCACTTTGTTTTACTGAAGAAGTATTAGCTAAAGGAGAGGTGGACCTGCTCTAATGTGAAGGATACTGCAGGGAAGCAAGGGTCAATTTTCTTTTAGAGAGTGGAAGATGATAGCTTTTGACAGGTACCGTCAATTTCAGCTTTTTGCAATAAAATGGGAAGTGTGTGCAGCATTTTACATCTCCTAAATAGATTACCCAACACAGATACACACATGCACTTGTCAAAGCTAATGGCATTCTTTCTGCTGAGCCTCACAAACTCCAGTTCTAAATCTAAACAAGAATAAATCTTGGCCAAATGTTGACATTTTGCCCTCCTTCTGGGGCTACCTCTCCAGGGAGCAGAGAAATTTCTCTTCTCCAGCTTCCTGAGCTGTAACAATTAGTGCTATAAACCCTGCAGAACAGATTGTCCTCACAACAGAGCAATCTTGCTCTTAACGAAACATTTTCTGTGAAGTGCAACAAAATAAAAGTGATACTACAGCTTTCATTCATATTAATGTTTTCTGGTTTTGGTCTAGAGTGAGCTCAGGTATTTTGCTTGCCATAAGCATGTTTTAGATCAAGTATTTTAAAAATTGAGCTGAACATTACTTGTTGTCCAGTTTTCTGTTCACAACTAATTGTACAGCAAGCTAGAGTACTCAGCCAGAAAAACCTTGGTAAAGTAAAATGCATCTTTAAAAATTCAATTTTTAATTTGCCATCATCGTATAAAAACA